ATTTAACTGTATGTATTCTAATAGATTCATTCCTGTATCATTGACTCTAGTGGGCACAATGTGATATATTTTCTTATTAAGGTACTTCAGAAAACTATACCACTTTTTGGCCACAAGATGCAGCTGATGATGCAAGAATTATTCTAATAGAAAGCATTCAGAGAAATTTTGCTTAGCTTGCACAAATATTTCTGACATTTGTACAACAAATATTTTAAAAATAGACCCTAAAGTGTGCATGATACCATTTCATTGCATGCATTTACTGTATATGTGTTTAGAAATATGCTATAGATTACATATTAATGCATATAAGTGCGTGTCTTAGCCCTCATTCACATGGATATGATAACAATGATTTTATGCTATGGTATAGTACACTTACATTTAGGTTCATTCCATTTAGCTGTGCTTAGAAAAAGTAGAAATCTTTGCATTCAAGGGCATATTGAATGCTCTGAATGCATGTAAATACATTTACTTTTCAATGCAATAGAACATGACATTGAAAATATAATTTCACATTAATTTCTTCTGCATTTATATCTATGGCCTGCAAGCCACATGTGGCCCCATCTTGCTAAAAATGTATAATTCATCCCCACTGTATTCATATCAATTGCCCCCTGTGCAATTCTAAATATTTTGTTCTTTGTTGTTCACTTAACTGCATTCTCAACCCATATACGCAGGAAGTACCAGTTCAGATATCATAGTCAGTATCTTATAAATGCGTGAAGTGCCGTATTTTTGTATTCCATTTGAGTTTAACAATTGCTCAGATGGGTACATATTTTCAACCCCTCTCAATGGCTGTGAAAGTGATGCTACAAAGTGCTTTAATTGACGATACCGCCAATCATCTAACTCATAAAACGTGTCCTTTTTTTGTTTTGTTTCTTGTAAGGTACCTATTTCCCTATCTTTCATAATATCCTTTAACCGTGCTTTCCTGTCTTTAATCCAAACTCCTGCTATAGTGCTCTTGCCTGGTGTGAAAAAATGTGTTACCTTCAGTGGTATTAATGGTGAATTAAACCCCCACACATTTTGTTTATGAATTAAATTCCATATCCTAAATACATTTCTTGTTAGAATACTAGTATTTTCACACAACGTCCGATATTGTTGTGGAACCCAAATAATTTTATCTAACTGTGCTGCACCCAGTGTTTGTTCAATCCCTACGCAGCTTTTCCCCCGTGCATTATATTCCCAATCCATTATTCATGTTAGTAATACTGAAAAATAATATCTTTTATACTCTGGCACATTTAAACCCCCATTTATTTTACCATTACATAATACCTTATATTTCCCTCTTGGTTTTTTATTTGCCCATATATATCTCATTATCATTCCTTTTAATACCCTAAAATAAGTTAGATATATTGGGAGCATTTGAAATTTATATAAGATTTTAGGTACTATCACCATCTTCACCATGTTTATTCGTCCTATCCAGGAAGGTGGACCTTTTGATATTTTTCACAGCTCCTCCTTTATCTCATTTAATAGTGGTATGTAGTTTGTCTGATATATACTCCTAAGTGATGGGGTCAACTTTACTCCGAAGTAATTTAGTTCTTTATCCTTCCAGACAAAGGGAAATGTTTCTTTCAATATCTGTCCTTCTGCTTTCGATGTATTAAAATCTAAAATCTCAGATTTTGAAAGATTTATTTTAAAATTTGATAATTCTCCGTATACTTTTAATATTCTCATAAGGTTTGGTAATGTTGTTTTTGGGTTTACTACATAGAACTACATATCATCTGCATAAGCTGTCACCTTATGTTCCACTTCTCCAATTTTAATTTCTTTTATATCTGTACTCTGTCGTATAGTTGCTAATAAGGGCTCCAGTGATAGTATAAACAGAAGAGGTGAAAGTGAACATCCTTGTCTTGTTCCATTATACATTTCAAAATGTTGTGACAAGAGGCCATTAACCTTCACTGCTGCAGAGGGATGACTATATAAAGAATTTATCCACTGTATCATTTTAGGTCCTAATCCTATCGCCTCTAAGGTACTCCTCATAAATCCCCAATCTACCTTGTCACATGCTTTTTCAGCGTCTATCAACAGAAATAGAACTGGGGATTTCTCCTTCTTACATTTTCCTAAAAGAGGCAATGATATCAGGCCATTATCTCTTCCTTCTCTCCCTGGTATAAACCCTACTTGGTCTACGTGTATCCATTCTGGCATTAGAGCTTTTATCCTGCTGGCAATAAGTTTTGAATATAGTTTTGTGTCTATGTTTAATAATGATATTGGTCTATGGAAATCGAGAAAACTCTTATATACGCCCTATGGGCTTCCCATACCGTAGCTATTGAGACTCCTTCCATTTGATTTAACTGAATGTATTGCTCAATTTATTTTAGTAATCTTAGTTCAGTCTCCTGATCTGTATAAGTGTCTCATTTAATTTCCATGCATACGTTTTATTCTGTCCCCCCCCACTTTCAACCTCATTGTGACAGTTGCATGGTCTGATAATGATGTAACATCGATACTGGATTTAATCAATGAGTCCAATAATCTATGTTCTGTCATTATATAATCCAATCTAAAATATGTTATCAGGAATAGGTTGTATAGTCTCTTACTAAGTTCTTAATTCTCCACACATCTACCAACTGGCATTGATGTAATTTCTTTTTTATCGACCTTAAACGCTTACCTCCATCCATCTGCACATGCGATGAAGTATCAAACTTAGAATTCATGCAATGCAGAAATTAAAATCCCCTGCCACAATCTCTCTTGAAATCCATTATTTCTCTTAACGTATCCTCTAAATAGGTCATTGGGTCCTTATTTGGACAATAAATATTTGCTAGTGTATATTCCATTTCATGCAATTTTATCCTCAAAAACAAGAGCTGCCCTTTTTGATCCTCCAATCTGTCTTCTATAATGAATCTCACATTTTTTACTATCCCAATAGCTACTCCTTTGGCTCGTTTTATTGGTGAATCAGCATAGTACCATACCGGAAAGTTTTTTGATTGTAACCTAATTCTTGTATCATGAGTTAAATGTGTTTCTTGTAGACATACTAAATCAATTGAATGTTGATACATTTCCCTTAAGATACTATATCTTTTTTAACTGGAGTATTCAAACCTTTTACATTGTAAGTCATAAAATTAACTACGTTCTTATCTGCCATCCCTGTTATATTGATTCCTTTTTCTTCCAGTCCACACCAAGGTACGTCGTAATATAATAAGTCTAACACATTGGGTAACTGCTAGGTAAACTTTTTATCTCTTTCTTTCCACCCATTCCTCCCCTACTCTCCCAACTCCCCCTCCCCCCCCACCTACCCCCCCACCTTAAAAACCTATGGCTTATCTCCAGCCTTTGGATCTGTTGTGGGATAATTCCCATCATCTATCCCTCTAATTGGGGTAAGGCTCTGTCAATGTATGCCTCCCACCACCCCATCCCAATCCTAATGAGGCGTGGGTCCAAGAGTGTGTTGGCCTCCATAAATCCCGCTAATGCTATAACTTTCACTTAATACCTCCGTCTCTCTCTTGAGAGCTCTAATTTCGCAAACATATCTGTCAGTTCCATCTTTGTACATATTTGTGATCTTCCTGTTTGTTCTTCTGTGTTTCTTTTGTCCCCCATACAATCTACATTAGGGCCTCCTCTGCATTGATTCAGATAAGATGTTTCCAATGACAATCTGGATTGATCTCCACTATTGTTTTCAATTCCTTGTCTTCCACTAGCTTCCCACTTTTCTCCTGTGGAGAAATATATTTTTTAATTGTACTTATACTTGTTTTAGGGATCTTTACCCCTCCTTCTTTCACCAATCTGCTCTTCATATTACTTCCTTTTGTTTCTGAACTTGGAGTATGTTCTTATTATTATCCCTTCTCTGTTTTCAATAAGCGTGGGATTGTGCAGCTATAGAGATAGTCAAATAGATGGATAGGTAGATACATAGGTAAATACATAGATACCTGGGTCTCTAACCTTTTTTTTTTCCACACTATCGTCCCATCAGAGACCCAGGGTTATATTGCTTCCTACTTTTTCCACCTTAGTACTTAATATTTCTGATTTCCACACTCCTCCATAGATTCACTGGCTCCTTCTCCTTAGTATTTAAATTTTATGCCTGCTGGGTAACCCCCTGTATCTCTTTCCCACTTTATAACTTCTCTGGGTACTGCATACTGCATCCACCAGCCACTGTGTCTTCCCAAATCACTTTTGAGCATACACTTAATGTATGTTTAATTATGGGCACTCACCATCACATCGCTTTCTTCAGCCCATATGGTGATTCCAGCCTCTTGTGCAGCACCTTGCTCCTGTCCTCCTTCAGCTATGGGGTTTGAGATTACCAGGGGTGACCTCCAGTGGGCTTTCCTCTCCTTTCTCCACACAGCCGTGTATCTCCCAAGAGTTCAGGCAGCACCTCTCGCAAGATTCTCCACAGCTTCCTCTGCAGCCTCCATCCCCTCTACTCCGATCCTCGCACTGTGCTGCTACACAAGGCAACCCTCTCACTCCAGGCAGGCCCAAGGGGTCCCCGCAATCGGTACCACTGCCGGTTCTCCACTCCTAACCCAAGTGGTATGTTCTCTGCAGCCTTCTCTCCGGCGGGTCAGCCTAGCACCTAGCACACGCTACCGGCCAGCGCCACATTCAGTCCCCTCCTCAACATCCCAAATGAGTCCGAAATGTTAAAAGTACTTTTAAACCTCATTTTTTAAGTCATCAAATGTGCAAAGAATTTTCATATAAATGTTCATATGTATATAGGTATAAATGTTTGTTCAAAAATCTAGCGTGTAGCCAGCTTTACAGCAGAGCAGGTCTGAAGCTGGATAAAAAAATCTCTGCTCCCATGATGCTTGAAAAGCTCAATCTTCTCTGTGTAAATGTTGTTAATTATATAACTATTACTGTTTTTTTGTTACTACTTTTAGGAAAACCTTCGAAGATTACGAGACAGTATTAACAAGAAGAAGGAGGAAAATAAAAAGCTTAAGAAATCAGGTATCTAATTTTTATTTTTGCATCCATAATATTTCAGAAACAATGCAGCATTTTTCTTTAGGCAAAGGTAAAATCTTTTTTTTTTTTTTTTTTTCTGTTTGATAATGCTTGTCCCCAGTGGTTGCTTTACTTTGCAAGCCCAACACATCTGACACTCTGAGTACTGATACTCGATATGATAATGATAATAGATATAAGTACCCTGATTTAAATAGCAATGGCCTTAGAAGAGAAGATGTCCCTTTAATTTGAGATTGCAACTTGAGTCCTGTGATATTTAAAGTTACTGATATGGTGTCGTCCATTGTCTTTTGCTAGTAATGGTGGGGCCCATAAACATTAGTAAATACTGGTAATTCCATGAAGTTAAACAGATAGGCTGTGGTACTGCTCAAAATAAAGATCTCCTGATACTGAGTTGTAAAGTTGTCTGCATGCAGTATCTCTAGAGTGATGACAGAAACAGGTTGAGCATCCGTCCACTCAACAATCCCATGAATGGCTCGGCTTCCTGGAAAAAGAGTTCCTGCACAAGCTCTTGACTGTTTGTAGGGATGTGTAGAGTTGCCACCTGACGGTCTGTCAGCGTGGAGAGCAGAGATGTCTGTGTGAAGACTGGATAGTGACAGTCCTTATAAAGAGAAGCTGATGCGATCCTGATGTGGTGATTGGCACCACTGCTGTGTTGAACTGATGTGCAGAGTCCTGCAGCAGTAAGCCAGCAATATGTCTCTGGAAGAGAGTGAGCCAGTCCCTTGCTGTAGAATATATCTGCTCTTCCCGCATCCTTCTCGTTCGTCAACATTCTGGTAGTTGTAGTTTAGTCATCACGCGGGAATACAGTATGAATTGGCTATAGGACTACAGGTCCCAAGATCCAGAAGAACTAGATCCACTCTGCAAACAGGAAATGATGTATCAGTCCCAGTACTGGGCACTAGAGGGAAAAGGATTAATTATCGTCTCATCTGTAAATGTCCCTGAAAGGCAAAATGATACAGCCAGCACCTGGCTACATATACAGCAGGGACTCTGTTGTTATATCAGTGTTCCAGTTTAAAGTGTATCTAAACTAAAAAAAAAAAAGTAGGAACAATGTAGCTTGTAACAGTTATCAGCGCAGTAGATTCCTGGCAGTACCAGCAAATATTTTTTTGCACTTGTTGAACAGATGCACCAAAACACATTCAATTATTTACAGTAACAGACCAAAAGGAAGCAAATAAGAAAAGTTAATTATTAGGGTATATACAGTAGCACCCCCTCCTATTGTAGGTGGATAGGCAAATTTAGCTTTGGCTCCTTTTGCAATCAGGAGAGCGGTGATTGCTTGGTCTGGCCTATTCAGGGTCTCACAGACTGGGAGTTTGAGTGGTTCCCCCTGCCTCTGGAAGAAGCTTCCAGAGCTTAGGGTGGGAGAATCATCCAAATCATCCAGCCCAAATATTTATCGGTTCCAACCCCTGGAGGGGAAGTTTCCAGAAGGTAAATGGTCAAGTGCTCTGCCGCTCACTATCTCATCTGATCTGGCAGGTGTGATGATGTCACAAGCCCCACTCTTACACAGTGGGTGAGGACATCAGTTTTTACCTTGCTTAAATAGGCTCTCCTGATCTCCACGGAGACATGTAAACAATTACTAGGAAAACATTGGGATCACCATCTCACTAATATATTAGTATTATAGTGGCATACAAACAAACATTTTAAAGCTGGAATCCAAAACTTCATACTAAACAGGTATACAGAAAGCAACCAAAATATATATTATATATATATATATATATAATATATATATATATATATATATACAAATTTTGCAACTCTTAATATATATTAGTTTATTGCATACAATACAAATAAATTCATTTTATATTTTCCTATATGAATAAATCATAGTCAAAAGAACCAATCTATGTAATATTTACTAAAAATCTTCCTTAAATTAAAAAAAAAAAAAAAAAAAAGTCTGTGACTGCAATTGAGTAAGAAATAGTCCACAATGACATCAAACATCAGTAAATAGAATATTTCTGGTTTTATAACAAGTGTAGCTGGTGTTTTATACATTCGTTAGAAATAGATCAACCATTAGTCAATAACATATATGAACGACAGCAAAGCATCTCTGACTGAGTTGTAGAGGCAGGCTGATGACAGGCTGATGACATCACACTCTCTGACTCAATAAGAGGAAGCTTTGTATTCCTTCACAGGATTCAAGGCTGCCTATGAATGGCTGAGCATCGCTCAGACTGACTCTGCATTGTTCCATGTGTTATATACGGGAAGTCTCACAGCTGGAACCCAGCACTTTGAAGCTACATGCAGTTCATACAGTGCTTAAAAGCAATGCAGCACTTAGTGAAGGAAATACTTTAGTTTGTTTGGATCAGCTTGGTCCAAACAAACTAAAGCCACAGAAAACCTGCAGATCAGCTTTAAGTGCATTTACCACTAAATGAGTGTGTTTATTTTTTCTGGGGGGGCAACTCACAGCCAGGTTAAAAGTATTTATAATTTTGTCTTTATACGTGCTTGAAGTGACTTTTATTCAACCAGGTGTGTCAGAGGGGCTGAGGTTGTCCTTGGAGTTGAGGTGCAGAACCGAGAACCCAAAATTACCAAGTGGCTCCTTCGGGGATAGTGCTGCACATCCATGGAAACCCTTCCACATGCATCAATATACATACTCTAAGCCCTGGTTCACGCTAAATGCTGCTTTCAAATCACACTTCTTCACTTGAATAGAACTCGCGATAGATAAATGTTCACTCCATGTGAAACAATAAAGATTACACACCTTGGTTGTGAATTGAATGCTTTTAGAAAAAAAATATCAAATACCCCTTTAGCCCATAAAAACGGCACCAGATACCACAAAGAAAATAAACAGGATCCAGCAGGCTGCTTTTCCTGCATAGATGGGACTGATTGCAATTATTTTGGTACAGACAAACCTTAGACAACTTCACTTAACATTTTAACTGTGGTTTTTGCCATGGCTGAAGATACTGGCTAAGTTTCATGCCACCCAGAGAACATGTTAATACAGACCAGCACATACTCATAATTTCCATACTTGGAGAGCTGGATATAGTTAATTTACAACCTCTGGAAGGGATTATCTAGCTTCAAGGAATGCTTTGAGGGTACTAGTACTATTTTCCCTTCATTTTACTGGGAGCAAGTGAGGCAGGAAGTAAAGTATCAGGCAGAAAATAGGCGGCATCCTGGAGCAATCCAGTACCTGTCCACTATCATTGTCATAACTGTCTTGGACAAATGTCCTTGACCTTGTGCCAGCTAGGCTACCACAGGGATTTGGGAAGGCACCATTGTGTACTGGAGTTCCACAGACCAGAGGGCTGACGAATCACCTGTTGTTACACCCATTCTTTTTCCCCTGCAGCCTAGACCTGCAATCAGACTTAGATGTCTATATCTCATTATGGAGGCTGTATATCAGTATAGGTAGCAATGCTGCCTTTTTGGCTGCCAGGTCGGCATATCTGTCCCCTCTTGTCTCAAAGGAGTTTTCCTTAGTATGGACTTTACTTTTAGTATGGCACTTTCATGGGCAGTTGGAAATCATTAAACAATCTTTCTATCAACTGTGCATGTTTCACCTGCTTACCAGAACTGGCAAGAATGTTTCTTGCCTCCCAGATAGGCCCAAAATCATGAACGATACCAAAAGTGTATCTGCTCTCTTTGTAAACATCACTTCTTTTGTTTTTCAAGAACACATAGGCTGCTTCTAGAGCATAAAGTTCTGTCTCTTGTGTTGACATTTGTTCAGAGAGTGATAATCAGTGTATCCTCAGCTGTCACTGCAAAACCTGTAGGAGGCCTACCATCCTCAGTGTAGATCAATACTGGGGGCCATCAACAAATAAAGTAATTACATCATCTTCTTCTAGGGGAGTTTCCCTAACTAGTGTAAGTCAACAGTTTCAATGTCCACTAGGTGAACACGGGAATCAAAATTATCAACATTTTTGGCATAGTCAAAAGTATCAGCTGCACCATCACCATCCTGTCCATCCTATTCTCCTCACTTTTCCTCCTGCTAGCAGGATGCAATTATCATGAGGTAAAATAAGTATTGGAGTTATAATTACTCACCAGCATTTAGCAAACTGTTTAAAGGATGCGGTATCTTAAACTGCCATTTCAGGTTCTCCTCTTAATAATAATCATTCTTTCAAGTAAAATATTTACTTTATTTTACAAGTTTAACTTATAGTTATAATAACTAATTATTCTTTCAGACTGTAAGTCAGAACACACATTATCACATCCGCGCAAGGGCCAATTCAAATACAGCAGAAACAAACCTGGTTCTTATGGGCACAAGTTTGTATAGAAATATATATGATAAGAATAGCTGCAGTCAAGACAACCTTTCTCCCAAAAATCCTTTGCCTATTTTGAGTTTTACCAATACCAGTTCCATCCTGTTTTTTTTTGTATCCTACAAAATAAAGTCTCTCAATTTGTCTGGTGCACCACCTGCCTCATCTCCCAGAGTCTACTCTCTTGGGACCCAAACAGGCCGGAAGCCTCAACATACTGTACTTTTCTAAATATTACCAGGCTGCTGAATTGAACTAGCTAATCTTATCTTCCCTCACACTCCAGCACTGTTCTTTATTCACAATCCAAAAACGTTGACCTGGCAGTAACCTCACCTTCAACGTTCCACCACTGGATGTACCTACAACTCACCCACCTGCACTGTATTGTCACATCTACAGGTTTTAAATCCTTTTCGATGCTTCAAACTCAGTACAAACTCCTCAATTCAGAGATTTTTCAGTACACCCAAATAAAGCATTTCTACACCACTAAACACTCGCCCGAAGCGGACCTCTGTGTTATATCTGTATATGAATGATTATGCCTTTCAGACCCGAATGCTGAGGGAGTGATATTCAAACTCTATGCAGTTTCAGTGTCCACCCCCCCCCCCCCCCCACACACACACACAGCTTATG